TCCTTCACTGCAGAGGCATGCCGGTAAAACTAAGTTTCCTACACGAATTCCATATAACATGGGGTGAGTAATTGATGGACAAATGATCACGTTGTGAGTGACGTCTCCCTTTAATTGTCCCTTAAATCCCCTTAAATGGCCTCACAGGTGGATGACACATTTTGACACAATGTCGGTCATATATTCTATTTATCAGTGTGTTGCATAATTAATTTTATACTTATACACTTATACACTTATACTAAGGCAGATTTTCACATTTCTAAAATCTGCATCGACTCAATTTTCAGCCTCACACACAGCTGTCTTGTTTTTTAAGATATTCTTGTGGGGTTGAAATGAATTTATAAAAAAACTCAAACACACAAAAAGTACATTTTGTTATATAGCTAGGGGTGTATTGTCATCTATTAAAATGTTCCCAAAGTTCCACTAAACATACCTCACTAGAACACTCATATTGCCAGGGCTACTTTCTAATTTCCAGCAAGACGTCTGTCTAACATGGGAAATGCGTTAATATTTTTTAGTGAAATTAATGTTTTTTTAATCAGACTTGTGCGACATTACAACTGGCTCATGTTAAAGGTGATTTATAACACTGCAAATACCTCATTGATACCTAAATTAATTTGCTCGGTAACTGTCCAGTGATGCTTACTTGTTTGATAAAAGTCTGCTGATGAATTTTTAACACATTTATGCCTTTTCTGGATAAGTAAACAAGTTTTTTGACAAGGTTATTCATTCGCTAATCTCCCAGCAAGCTGAAAACAAAAGTCACACTGCTTTTCCGACCCCTAACACCTTCTTCATCACCATTTTTTTAATTTTACAAAGTTTAACTGGACCGATTGCATTACTAGCACAAGCTAACCGCATTAGCATGTAGCCTTGTAAATGGTCAAAATTGCTAAAACTCTGCCAGCTATTTAAATAGAGAACTTATTTCTTTGCAGATAAAGAGTTTACAAGCCTGAAAATATCGATTTAGCTGGCAAACAATGATGCATCTTCAAAATCAAAGACCTCTGGAAAATAACCTTGCTTCAGCTCCATGATGATACCATGCATTTTTGATTAGTAGGAAGTTTTGCCATCAGAGTTTTCAGACTTCTTCCTCCACCGCTGCCCGTCTCTCCAACACAACCAAAGGAGCAACAGCAAACAGTGAACCCTACCTCAGTGTGTGCGTGTGTGCTCTTACTTCTCATAGTCGTGCTTGCAGTACAGCAGGCGGTCCCTGCAGTAACAGGTCCCGGTGAGCGCGCTCAAACACACGGCGCACTTGACGCAGGTCTCGTGCCAGGAGCGCTCGTTCACGCGCAGCAGGAAGCGGTCGGCGATGGGAGACTCGCAGCCGGCGCACACCTCTCCCCCTCCCCTGTACTCCGGACCTGGAGGGAGCATGTATCAGTGCGTGGACAGAGAGACAGAGGCAGGGCCGAATATTTAACATGGCTGGGGATATGAGTCCAAGTGTCCCCAATGTCAACCACATCACATGAGAGATGTTGACGCCCTCTAAAAGATGTAAAACAATGCAAAAGCATGAGCCTGGTATACGGATATTTTTTCTATAATACCACACCAATACACATATGTATTTTAGGCTACATAATTTGGCACAGAACAGCTGCTGCGCCCTCCAACACTATTACCAGAGCCGTCCACCCTGTGCCATATCCAATGGGCAAAACTTTATAGACACCCCGCTTTTTGATTACACAAACAAAACTCTCTGGATTAAAAAAATCCCTAGAGCACTAATTTAATTTATTCCCAAATAAACTTTTTTTTCTAACAGCTGTTTATTGCATCCTTAAAATCATGTTGTTGATTTTCATTCTTATTGGACCTGAAAAATAATCTATGTGACACTAGCTGCTGTAGTAACATTACGTTGTGTAGGCCTATATATAAAATTATAGTCAACGTAGGAAAAGCAACTTTTGTTTTTTGGCTCTTTTTTTTTACCACAGTGGTGTCCCTTTAATATTCACATCATATATTCACCCTAATCATGAATTCATAAAAGTATTCCTATTGATTTTATCATGCTGGATGCACACTCTCTCTTCCAATTTCGGCCTACACATGCACAGTATTCCTGTGGGAATTTATATTGTGCCCATACTCGAGTGAAGTTTATCATAATGATAGTCTATGTTGTGACATCTCTTCCTTGTGTTAAATAATATACAGCAATAATAATATTCACCAATTATATCCTGATAATACTGGTGATGATATTTACTGTTTCCCAGCGAGTTTATTTCATTTGGGCCTCATGCAACACATTGCCAGTCAACACTCACCAAAAGGCGTTGAGGATGGAGGCTGCTGCAGACAGGACTGCGGGCTCTCCTCTGTTTTCATCCCTTCTCTCCTTCCCTCAGTGTGATCGCTGCAGAAAGATAAAAAAAATGCACAATTTCTGTCTAAAATATCAGCAGAACCACTGCACTGAATTTATTTCAAAATAAGGGAAATTTTGAGACAAAATGCAGGCCGATGCACGCAGATTAAGCAAAGCAGCATCTTAGAAAATAAGGTATTTTTAAGGCGATATTTTTAAGTTACTATAATATAGATTTTAAAGGGACTTGAACACACACACACACACACACACACACACACACACACACACACACACACACACACACACGCACACAAATTAAATTGAGAAATTTGAATGATAAAAAAATAGAAAACTAAAAAGTGATATATCTGATAATTTAATTAAAATAAAAGAAATTACATGCAAGCATCAAAGTGTAGCTTTTTTGCAAGCTAAAATTTTGGTTACACTTCAGGCCCTTAAATATAATCATCTGATATTTTAAAAACGAATGTCAGCTTTTAGATATAACTCTGCACAATTAGCAGAAATCTAACAAAACATATAAAAATAGGGTACAGTTATGAAAATACCAAAAAAGTACATTCTTACATATATCTTACATTTCCTTTTAAATATTCCCAGAACATTTTTGTTCAGATTATTTTGAAAATATGCATGTTTTAAAATTGTCCCCTAAAAATCCAAATGTAATTATATAGTTTCAGGTTTTTATTATAATTAATACAACTGTTTTTATTAATGTGTCATAATGGAGTCTTGCAGAAGGAGCGTTAAAAGAGGCTGACGGGTTTTTGTATCCTGCAAAATTCTCTTTAAAAGTCAATTAATGCAGAGAAAAATAAGTTGGCTGAGGAAACATAGACAAAAAAAATCTTTGTAATATATCAGCAGGCACTTTAATATTGTTTGCTGTGGCCTTTAATATCAGACTGATATTTTTATCATAGACTCGCTATTAAAAGGTCTATCATAATATTTAAAGTCTATGTCTCAATTGGATATTAAATTATGTTTGGATTTTTTGTTGTTGTAATATTTTAAAAAATCCATTTTTAAATAATAAGATTAATTTTGGGCGTCTTAGCCTACCCTGTAAAATCCTAAACATAGAACAGGCTATTGAATTTCGGTTAACTGCTGCATTGGCACAGAAAATGAAGTAATGAAATAAAACAAATGAATTATGTAAATACGGCTAATCTGATTTGATGTTTTGCCTAATTGTGGCTTGAATACATTACTGACATATTTGTGTGTAATGCATGGATAATTACATGTTGAGACAAACAGCCTGGCACTCTGATAATGATCACCGGAATAAAAATGTTTGGAAAAAAGATTTGCTGCAGGTCATCTAGAGCCAGAATTAAAGGAAATATAATTGTGGTGTCAGATGAGGATCAATAAATTGCTGTATAAAGTTGGCGCACTGTGAAATTTGGCATCCAAAGGATAAGCTTTTCTCGGTTTGAAGGTTTTTGTGTTCTGGAATTAATGTTAAAACAAGCAGATAAAATATATTTGTTGTGATGGGTTAGTTTTAAAAGCTAATGAAATATCCAGGACTATCCTCGTGCTATGAAAAGTCAAAAGTTTGGTTGTTATGGTCCATCAGTTAGCTGTGATTACTCATAAAACAGTTGTAAACTAATGTGATAATGAAATATCATCCACGATAAGCATCAGAGCAATCTCCAACTGAAACACAACCTGTTATGAAATCGCTTCTCCTCTATTTGCTTGGATAAACAGCCCAAATCAAAAATCATGAATTATCACACAGCAGGTCACTGTGACTTTTTTTGTGCCTGAGCATTTAAAAAAACGCCAAATATATATATATGTTAGACTTATACGCACGTGCTGCTGCAGGAACAAGAGACACATATCAGCTCAAGCGACAACATTATTTGGAAACTGACAACCTGTTCCTTGAGTTACGGAGTCCTACCTTGAGGTGAAACACACTCCTCCTGAAATCTCGGTTGGCAACATTAAAAACCTGGAGAAACTTTCGGCTAGCAAACGAACACACGCGCTCACAGATTGTTCACCTGTATCTCACAGCCCGGCGCGCATGTTGCCTACGGTAAAAATCCAAATACCATGATGACCCGAAACTATTGTCTATTGTCTCTCTCCGTTTTCTCCGCCAGCCGTGTGTGCGCTCCGACTTGTTTTGTGCGTAAAAAGGCGCAGAGGGAGGAGATGGACGGACAGGGGAGGGAGGGAGAAGGTGCGGAAGATGATGAGGGGAAGATGAGAGATGATGCAGCCTATTGATAACTCAGATGGGGATGATCCTTTGCGTTTGTGTTCAAGGTTAGACGGTGACTTTAAAGGGCGCAGTTGAAATGTGGAGAGACTCGCGGTGAGGCGTTTATCTCCCTCCACATGGGGAACGGCGATCTGTTATGACGCTTATACTTGACTACTTGCTCAAAACCGCCTCATTCTGGTGAAATATCATCAAAGGGACAAAGGCAAATGAGAGCAGTTACAGTCAACCATATCTCCATGTAGCCACCACAACATTTTGCTTCACTTTCTATGCCATTAGACTCTAAACTGAAACAGCTCCATGGATGAAAATGCTGCTGTGCGAGTAGAAAAAGTAACATATGGAAACATGTAATTAGAAATAAGTGGTTTATTGCCCTTCTACTATTGTGTCTGGCATGTTTCCCCCACACACTGGGAGAAGACCGCCCCCTTGTGTCCAAACAGGAAAGGTGCATGATAACGTATAAGATCTTAATATAACTTCACACCAATGAAGGCATATCTTATTTTATATAACAAAAAAAAAGTCCATCTGGAGCCTATAAAACACTTAAAAACACAACAAACAGACAACAGGATTATTTAAAAAAAAAATACAACACTTAATGGCGATTGTATTTCGCTGATTTTCATTAGTTTGTTCAGGACAAAACCAGAAACTCGATACTTGATGTGCTAGTTTACTGATTTCATACCACCTGTTTGTTACATTCAAATACAGTAGAAATATTAAAAACCTTTGATAACTGAACCGTTCTTGTCTGCTGTGGGTGTTAGACAGCTGGATGGTCAACAGATCAAATCTCAAAGTGGATTAGTCATAGTAAGGCTGTGTAAGTAGGTAAGCATCAGGCCTGAACTTTTCAACTGTGTGTCCTTCCAGAGTCACGTGAATGTGAGTGTGAGGTTTGTGTGTGAGTAAAATATGTTGAAAAACTGCATAAATCTTGATAAAAGTTACACACAATAAAAGAGATACTAAAAGAATACTTCACCCCCCAAATGACCATTTGTGTATCAATTACAATTATTCGTGCCTCCGGTGAACTTGGACTCCCAAAACAAAGAAAATTCTTAATACATTGGATTAATTGGGGGCCGCCTTTAACAACAGCAAAACTATGTCAAAACATCTGTTTACAAACTCTCACACAACTACTGTAGTATAATCCAAGTCTCATTTATCCAGTCGTTTGCCTGACACTGAAACTGACACTGAAACTTTACTATGCTCCCTTCAAAGCCAGACTCTATTTACAAAACTAGTAATTTAACCCTGCTGGCAGCTGCTGGTCTACCACTACCTCAACCAGTTAGTTTGTATTATTGTGTGACTTTGGTGTTTCTAAAGGGTTAGTTCAGATTCACCAAAGTCACACAGTAATACAAACAAACCAACTGATTGAGGCAACTGTGGACCAGCACCTCCTGTGTTCAGTGAGGTAAAATGGCTGCTTTTGTCAACAGAGTCTGGCTTTAAAGATACCACAGATTACGTTCATTTTTAGGTCATCATAAGAAAAGGGCAGTCTGTTTGGGAATTGCTGAGCCACATGACTGGATAAATGTGACCTAAATGATATTGCAGGAGTTGTTAGAGATATGTTTTGATGATGTAGTTTTGCTGTTATAAAATGTGGACCCTTATGACTTCAATTAATCAAGAATTCTCTCAGTTTTAGGATTCTTCATTCACCCTGGATGCATCCTTGAAGTTTTCTTCAAGAATTTAACGTAACACTGGCTGAGTAACTGATATACAAAAGATAATTTGGGGCAGTGAAGTATTCCTCTAACCTTTTATTCTACATCCAGTGTGTGTGAATATTCCATATTTCTGTCCTTCCTCAGACAAAGAGCTGCTCGTCCTTCCCTGAGTGGCTGCGTCTCAGCTTCAGGCCAGACAGGATCTTCTGCGCTGGTGATGTCAGGTTGTGCTCAAGAGGAAGTGTCTTTGGTGACTGACACAGAGCCTGTCTCTGTCCAGCACTCTGTCTGTTACTGGATGCATTTATGTCCTGATTAACCTCACGCCCAGACGCCACCTCCTGAGAAGACTCCTGTGTTGAAATAGAAGATGTCTCAGATGCAGCTGATGTGAACATTGAGTCCAACCCCAGCATGTACTGCACAACCTCGCGGGGGCTCAGCGGAACGTCCACTTTATTCTCTGTGGCAACAGTGGCCTGGAGTGGCTGGTGGGTTTTCTCAGAGTGGACCTCTAAGTTCTGGGATAGTCTCTGTGTCCCTGTTTCTGGAGAGGAGCTGCGGCTGCTGTCTGCGCTCCCCGGACGGCCCCTCGCTGGGGTCGCAGGCTGTCTGGCTGCACGACCTGGATTGGAGAGTCGGGTTCCTAGGTTATGATGCCGGTAATACTTCACAGGCTGTCTGGTGAAGCGATAGTGTGGCTGGGTCCCCAAACCAGAGTCTGGTCCTTCCCCCGGCTCACCCTGAGGATCGCTTGATGCCCCTTTCATAGCCAGGACTGAGGCAGAGGAAGGAGAACAAGCGTGTGATTCATGACAGTATTTAAAGGTTATTGATTACAATAAAATTGGATTTCCCTGCATATTGTTTCCAGCTGGTTCAAACACAGAACCTAAACTTCTGGAAGGTCTACAGTGCAGACTGGAACTATATCCTGCACTGATCTGAAAGTGATCAACAGAGGTTAAAAACCATATCTGCTACTCTGATATATTCATGTCTTTGGCTGTGAATGGAAGCCTTGAAGCTGCTTGCTGTTGTAGCCACAGAGAAGAGAGCACCTCAGAACTACAGCGAGAGTAAAGCAAGCAGAAGAGATAAAACCTCAGCCTCAGCTAAGCCATCTGACTCACCCAACTAGATGGCGTCAGCTAAAAAAAAATGGAAGGAAGTCTTATTTCTATAAATAACTGGAGGAAACATGTAAAGTGAGAAAAAGAAACGAGAACAACAACAGACACTCGAGGCACTCTCCACCCACTGCATCTGGTGCTTAGGACGATACTGAGAAACAGTGAGCTAGAACAAACCACCTGTCTGTGAGAAATACAGTAAACAACTCGGGAGCTGTACGTACAACACCTACAAGATCCTCTACAGGATTAATTAAAACACATCATCAAGCAGCAGAGGTACATGATGACATGATAATCTCATTACACCAACACGTAAAAACCTCAACATCTACAAATTACACAACACATCTACTGTGAATGAAAGTCTATCTTTATCTTGTTGACCTATTCTATACAGGAGTAACTGCTCTATCACTACGTCCCGCCTACCTGCTTGCTCACTGGCTTCAGGGCTGAGCTGGTCCACTGCCTCATTGGATGAAGACTTGTCAGATATATAACCCTCGCTTGACTCTCTCTTGATTGTTCGATTCTGTTGGAATGACACAAGTTGAATGGTGGATCTTTGCAAGTATATTTACAGACTACATCTGAACCTAAAGTTCTGCAGCACTACAGTATGTGATGGTGATTGTTACAGTGAAAGCGCCAAGAAAATACATTTGAAAAACTCAACAGCAGTGTCTCTTTCCAGAAATCATGATCCGGGTGTTCAAGATAATCTACAGACCTTTATGTGAGCAGTTTCATGTAGGAACTATTTTCTTTCAACCAAACAAACTGTATCACCATGCAGAAGGAGAAGTGCATCTACTCATGGACGAGAGGCTTATGTTTATGATTAGAGATGGGAATTTTAAGTTACACCCATTTTTGAATACTCACGCTCACTCACTCACTCACTCACTCACTCACTCAAATTATTATAGAGTATAGATATTCACAAAAAAGAGGAGGAATGTAAATTGGCCAACCATGGAAACCAGGCTTCAATTAGACTATAAATTCAAGGTTGACATAAGAAAAATCAGCAAACTTTCCATCACCAATGTTATGTAGGCTAACTGCAGCCTTAATGGCCATCTCCAAAGTCCAGAGCCACTCACCTCCTGGTCAGTTCACCGTTTGTCCGGCGAGCAAATGCTAACACAGTAGAAGTGGCTCGACTCTGTGATGCAAACAGTTACCCCTGTCCAGTGGTGTAGTGGTAGCTGATGAGATGGGTGCACTACTAGATAAATGGGTAGGTTAGAGAGGAGGAGATGGGTATACTCTCCTATATATTCCAATGGCTTTTTGGGTAATAGGTGGGTATACTGTAAACAGCCAGAAAAATAGGTAGGTATACCCTGTGTACCTACAGTACTGGCCAAAAGTTTGGACGCACCTTCTCATTCAATGCGTTTTCTTTATTTTTTTATGACTATTTACATTGTAGATTCTCACTGAAGGCATCAAAACTATGAATGAACATATGTGGAGTTATGTACTTAACAAAAAAAGGTGAAATAACTGAAAACATGTTTTATATTCTAGTTTCTTCAAAATAGCCACCCTTTGCTCTGATTACTGCTTTGCACACTCTTGGCATTCTCTCGATGAGCTTCAAGAGGTAGTCACCTGAAATGGTTTCCACTTCACAGGTGTGCCTTATCAGGGTTAATTAGTGGAATTTCTTGCTTTGTCAATGGGGTTGGGACCATCAGTTGTGTTGTGCAGAAGTCAGGTTAATACACAGCCGACAGCACTATTGGACAACTGTTAAAATTCATATTATGGCAAGAACCAATCAGCTAACTAAAGAAAAACGAGTGGCCATCATTACTTTAAGAAATGAAGGTCAGTCAGTCCGGAAAATTGCAAAAACTTTAAATGTGTCCCCAAGTGGAGTCGCAAAAACCATCAAGCGCTACAACGAAACTGGCACACATGAGGACCGACCCAGGAAAGGAAGACCAAGAGTCACCTCTGCTTCTGAGGATAAGTTCATCCGAGTCACCAGCCTCAGAAATCGCAAGTTAACAGCAGCTCAGATCAGAGACCAGATGAATGCCACACAGAGTTCTAGCAGCAGACCCATCTCTAGAACAACTGTTAAGAGGAGACTGCGCCAATCAGGCCTTCATGGTCAAATAGCTGCTAGGAAACCACTGCTAAGGAGAGGCAACAAGCAGAAGAGATTTGTTTGGGCCAAGAAACACAAGGAATGGACATTAGATCAGTGGAAATCTGTGCTTTGGTCTGATGAGTCCAAATTTGAGATCTTTGGTTCCAACCGCCGTGTCTTTGTGAGACACAGAAAAGGTGAACGGATGGATTCCACATGCCTGGTTCCCACTGTGAAGCATGGAGGAGGAGGTGTGATGGTGTGGGGGTGTTTTGCTGGTGACACTGTTGGGGATTTATTCAAAATTGAAGGCACACTGAACCAGCATGGCTACCACAGCATCCTGCAGCGACATGCCATCCCATCCGGTTTGCGTTTAGTTGGACGATCATTTATTTTTCAACAGGACAATGACCCCAAACACACCTCCAGGCTGTGTAAGGGCTATTTGACCAAGAAGGAGAGTGATGGAGTGCTGCGGCAGATGACCTGGCCTCCACAGTCACCGGACCTGAACCCAATCGAGATGGTTTGGGGTGAGCTGGACTGCAGAGTGAAGGCAAAGGGGCCAACAAGTGCTAAACACCTCTGGGAACTCCTTCAAGACTGTTGGAAAACCATTTCAGGTGACTACCTCTTGAAGCTCATCGAGAGAATGCCAAGAGTGTGCAAAGCAGTAATCAGAGCAAAGGGTGGCTATTTTGAAGAAACTAGAATATAAAACATGTTTTCAGTTATTTCACCTTTTTTTGTTAAGTACATAACTCCACATGTGTTCATTCATAGTTTTGATGCCTTCAGTGAGAATCTACAATGTAAATAGTCATGAAAATAAAGAAAACGCATTGAATGAGAAGGTGTGTCCAAACTTTTGGCCTGTACTGTATGTATACCCTCCACTACACCACTGGCCCTGTCGATGTGTGTGTGTGCAGGCAGACTCTCACCAGCTGTTCCCTGATGTGAAGCTCACACTCCTGCAACAGCTGTCTCATGATAAACAGAGAGACAGCGACAGCGGGGCAGCTGCTGAGCAAAGCAACACAGTGCATGCAGCTCAACAATAAAATACGCTTTTACACATTTTAAATGGTAAATGAAATATATAAAAGCCATATTCATATGTGGGAGGTTGGGTGATGATTACTTTATGTGTTGAATGAATACTGACATCCAAATCGAGTACTCATGCCCATCCCTACTCTTGAAAGCTGCCTCGGCTGGGCTGTAACATTAGCTAGCTCAGTAAGGCTAGGTGAGCTAGCAGTAGATGCACACTTCCTTCTGCATGGTGATACAGTTGCTGGGTGTAATTTGATATAAAGAAAATAGTTCTCACATGAAACTGCTCACAAGAAGGTCAGTGGATTATCTTGAGCACCTGGGTCATGATTTCTAGAAAGAGACACTGCTGTTGATTTTTTGATGTATTTTTTTGGCGTTTTGAGCTCCACAAGCTGAGTGCCATCTAGTTCCATTATACTCAAGAGAAGGCAGACATCTTTATGCTCAATATCTTTAACACTCAGCCACTCACACCAAAACAACTACACTGATAAATAGCGCTACAGGTAAGGGGAAAAATAAGTATTTTTGATTTGGCTGTGAACTGTCCCTTTAAAATGTGAGATTAGGTGGGCCCCCCAGTATAAACTGCCTTTTTTTCTACTGAGCCATCTGGTCCAGCCACTGTAAAAGTCTACAGTGGGGTAAACTCTTCTTGTTTATAAGCAATAGCAGTGAAATGTAGACAGTGTAGTAAAGCTTGACAGAAGGCTTTGCAGGTCAGAGACCAGAGAGCAGGAGAAATGTAGCAGCTGTCCAGCATGTTAATCCTGAGAGAGTGCCATGTGCTAAGGCTCTTAAAACAACAGGTGAATTAATCAGGAAAAGTAGCTCAGGTACACACTCTGCCCCGAGTGTGCCAGGCAACTGCTGGTGATTCATTTTAAGCTGACGCAGCAGTCAAGTGCTGAGAGATTTTGCATTTATGAGTCCTGTAAAAACCCTGCACACTTGAATGGAGCAGCTACTAAGTCTGTGTGGAGCTGTATGTCACTGACTTACTTCTAGTGAGTGTGGTCGCTCTCTGGAGGAGGTTTCATGTTCTGAGCTGGTGTAAACTTCCCCGTCCAGGGCACAGGAAGCTCGGGGAGGGGTGTCTGGAAGAGGTGCAGTAGGGGCTGGGGGAGGAGGCGTACTGGGTCTCTGCTGAAGGCCAAAAATCTTGTCGTGGTGTGTGATGAGGAACTCAACAAGCACAGCCTGGTAACTGGTCTCCAGCAGGGCAATCATTGACATGTCCGACGACACAGGAGGGCGCAGTAGTGTTGGCCCAAACACAATACCCAAATTGCTAGGAGACATCTTGTTCTCTTGGTTCTCTGACACTCTGTGAAAGCAGAGAGAGGACAAATTAAAGAAGGATTCAAGACAAATCTCCAGGAGGTGTTGAGTAAAACATAACCCTACTGCATGCTCACTTGTGTAGGTGAGACATCATGTACTGCAAGGTGCTGTAGTAATATGAAGGGAGTTTCTGTAGTAGTTTTTCCAGGTTGTGAACAATGTCCATTGTCTCGTTAGTGTCTGGTGCCGGCTCCCTTTCACTCAGGTTCTGAATGGTCTTTCCCACCGCGATGAAATTATTGTACAGGTCATAGGTTAGTAAGGGCTCGGGGAGCTAGAGGAGGGAGTGACAAATAGAGAGAGTTACTCACTAAGATCAGAGAGAAAAGCTTTGTGAGGAAGCAACCAAGAGACACAAGTATTGTGTATTGTGATTTAACAGCCACTGAATACTTAATATTGAAGTCTAGACATCAATGAATTAATATAATTGAAATATTTTACTTTGAAAACCATGTATCTGAATTTATTGGCCCTGAATTCACCTCTTTGAAATAAGAATATGAAATTTCTTGATTTCTAATTTGAAGGGCTGGTTTTGAATATCATTTTTCAATGCTCACAAATTCATATCCAAAAATTCCAAGTTTCAAAATTTCAAAAAAGATTCAGGCTGCTCAAATACGACTGGTCGAATTCAGATCTAAAAATTTTAGTTGCAACTTTCAGCTAGAACAAGTCAAATTTAATCAGTCAAATTATTTAGGCTAAATCGCCTATCCTGTTCTGAGTAGCCCTAAGTATGCTATTTGATTTTTTTTTTTTTTAACTTGAATTTTTTAATCTGGATTTGACCAGTCACATTTGAGTAACTTGATTTTTTTTTTGTTCTGAAACTTGAATATTTGGATATAAATTTGTGAACACTGAAAACACAAATATTCAAATTTAACATCTGAAATTGCAAATCAAGAAATTTCATGTTTTTTTATTTCAAAGAGGTGAATTCAAAACAAATAATTTCAGATTTCTTTTTAAATTGAACATTTATTTAACCAGAAAACCTCAACAACACTGAACAAAAATATAAAATTAAAATGTACAGCTCTAAAACAAGCTAAATAAAACACAAAATGATATTATTAACACAAAAAGAGGACGTGAACCATAAAAACGCATAAAAAAGGGCAACTACATAAGGTTACAAAGATGTATAATATTTAATTTAATTTTTAATTTAATTTCAATGCTATGATTTCATTAGTGTTTAAATTTTAGTATTTATTGGCTGTTAAATTCAATGCTTATGGTTCCTGTTTGCTTCCCTACAGCAGGTCTGACACTAACTTCTCTTATAATCATCCTAATGCACTCAGTGAAGTTGATTTGGTAATGACTCCTGTACCTCTTTGAAGAAGTGCTTAAGGATGGAGGTGATGTCATGCGGTGAAAGGTCAGAGAGGTCCACCTGCTCCTTCTGTATCTCAAAGGCCTGACAGAGCTTCTGGATGCGAGGCTTGGACCCACTCACACGATACACACCCTTAGAGAAGAACGATGAAAACTATTATCAGATCAAAACTAACTAACATATCTTTTTTTTTAACATTTGGTCACTGAGATAGTAAATAATACCTGGACAGAGAGAGCGCGACTCTCAATCTCAGATGTGCAGCGCACCACCACAAAGGGCAACTCGTCTGGCCTTTCACGGGACAGCAGAGAGAGGTCCACGCCGAACACAGTCCCCTTCCTGTGCTCACACTCTAGCTGACACACTTCCATACACTTCCTGTGCAAAGCCAGGCCGCACTGAAGGTGGGACAGCACAGAGGACAGAGAACATCAGCATCCAAGGGCGTAGGTTTCATTTCAACATTTCACATTAGTTTCCTGCATTCTGGTGAATTTATATACAGCAATTTCTGCCTTTTCTACATCCGTTTATGGTGTAATATCTCGACTTTCATCAAAATAAAAACCCTACCTTCATGAAATATTGAGGGGTCCCCAGTGCCCCCCTGGAATCTACACCTAGCAGCATTTATGTTTTGCTGTTCATCTCCAAATGCACTGTTAATGCATATCTCTCCTATTTCATACCTCCTCACATTCGACCCCATTGACGACGATGTAGTTTTCACACTGCTTGCATTTGACCATCTTGCTCTTCATCTTCCTGAGTTGGTGTGTCAGTGCAGCCCTTGTAATTGTGCGCACTTTGGCTGGCTGACTGTCAATATATTCTGCAGAGAGAGGGAGAGGATAGAATTGTGTGATGTAATAAAGCCCATGGAGAGTTAAGTGAGTTCTTGAGAAGTATTCTGTTTGTGGAGGCATAAAAAGGGAGCAACAAACCTGATTCTGACGCAACATCCCGTTCGTCCATGTCGTCCGATGACACTGTCAAAGTGGATGCAGTTTTAGGCAGCCTCCTATTAGTGTGAGCTTCAATTCCCATGGAGCAGAGACACAGCAGAGGGGAAAGCAAAACATGTTTATCCTTGCACGGCCTTCTTTTTGCATGTGAAAGAAAAATGACAGAACAAATGCAGGCTTGTGCTCACCAGGGCTGGACAGAGATTCTAAACTGCCTCCAAAACTCTCACTGTCACTGCACCCTGTTCTCCCTGAAGTGCACAGAAACATATGAGAAAACTTTAATTAAAATGGATCATTTATCTGTTAAGATAATCATGGTGTAGTCACTGGGAGTCCTTACTGCCATCAGTGGGCCGTCTCAAAGGGCTATCGTCTGTCATAGGCAAAGAGTCCTGCACAGAGCCGAGCGTGTTGCTGGTCTTTCGTTTGTTCCTTTCAAACAAAAAGGATTGTGACAATCATTTTAATGAATAAAGAGTAAGCAGAAGTAAGTAAAAGTTGTACACCCAGCGGATATCAAACAATTTTTCTGCTTCCATCCCACTTGAATTGATTGAACTAAAACATCTCAGCAAACAAGAGCAGGAGAGAGATTGTTAATCCAGGTTTAGAGCTTGCACCAAATATTTAATTAAGAGTTGAGCACACAGACACATCCAAGCTGTCTGAGTTTTTCTTTCTAAAATGTTTTCATAAATAATTACCTTCTTGTTTTCACTCCATATTAATTTTAATGTCTAGCCTTGAACAAATAAATTACAATTTTATAAAAGCTACATACACTTCTGATATGCGCAGTAAACAACACAGCCAGAATAAGAGCAGAGACAGTCATCGGACAGTTCAGCGTACCCTTTGCACTGAGGAACATAATCCTGGAAGGTAAAGACTTGGAGAGGTTGCTCGGGGCGACGCTTGCTGAGGACGTAGAGCAGATAGGGCTCGCCAGGCTCCAGGGACCTGCACGTCAACTCCAGGTTGTGATAGCCGAGGGGAACAGACTCTGTTTGCTGCCGCTGGTAGTAAAACATGTTAACTGTGGCCTGATGCAGAGAGGAGACATGATGGGGAAGAAGAAAGCTGTTATTTTACTGTGCTAATTCAAATAGCTATGTTAGTGTAATATACAATGCCAGAGCACTGCTTTCCTTTTCAAATCTTGATCAATGCTGTTTTAATCTCAACACAAAAGAAATAAAATGTAGTTTTTCATGTAGTAGAAGATGAAATTCTATAAGAGTAATTTCTTTGTTTTATTCTATTTCAAGGCAAAGTTGCAAACCATAAAGCACTAATTAAAGGAGCAGTGTGTAGGATTTAGTGGCATCTAGTGGTGAAGATTGCAGATTGCAACCTGCTGAAACTTCTCCCATGAGCCGAGCATGAACTCCCTGTTAGGATTCCTCCAGTGTTCACTGTCCAGGAGGTTTTACCCAGGAGCCGATTTATCCGCAGAGGTCCCTTCCTCTCCAAAACAAACTTACCAGGGGTCCCATTTATAAAACAGCGAGGAGGATCCATACTAAAAATGTACGTACCCACAAAAGCCAGAAATGGCGTGCACCATAAAATATTCAACAATTTCTACAATCAGGCTTCAACCTCAGCATCTACGCCGCCAAAATCCCACCTCCAAAATATCTGTAAGCATGGCTCAAAGTTTATCCCATCAAGTCTATTTTTATAGATCACAACTTTTGTGCGGGAAGTGGCATACGCTTCTTTCAGGCCTCGTTTTGCACATACGCGATGTTTATAAATGAGACCCCAGGTGTTTAAAACTGGTTAAAACACTGACTAAATTAGTGTCACATTACAAATTAGTGTGTCTCAGATGGCGTTTGGCTCGTTGCTGATAGTCCGTTGGCCCAGCACCTGCTATTATGTGCCCACCTTTTTTTTTGATAACTTAACATCCAAATGCTCAGAAAGTTTTAACCAGGAGCCAAATTACCCACAGAGGTTTCTTCCTCCCCAAAAGAAACGGACCCTATGATTTAAATTGGTAAAAACACTAAGTGAAGGAATTTTCATGTTAAAAAAATCTGTGTTTTTCTGACGCTCTCCTCTTGGAGGGGCTCCTAATTAAGATGGACAATGCAAAATCACAAATGGCCCTATGTAGAGCCAGTGTTTAATTTGTCCATTCTGAGCTACCATAGAGATGTGGCAGTGCAACAAGGCGGACAACAACGACAGTGATGATTCTTATCTTCAGATGAAACAAACTGCAACACAAACTTAAGAAAACACACTTCCATTTCTGCCAATATATCGCACTAAATCCTACACACCGGACCTCTAAGCAGATTATTGATTCAAGCAAATACATGTATTTATTTGTGCTGATGTGGAAGTGGAGACATAGTTTACTATTATGTAATAACGAATATACAAATATATGTCATTTTATACACAAGGGGATGCGCTTAAGGCGTTGTTCTCATCAGAAACAGAGAGTGGTTGATTGCATCCAATTGCATCCTTAGCTGATGCTGCTACATGTGCTCATATAGTTGCCCACGTCACAGTGATTTACTCTGTGACTAAAATAACTATGATATTGCTGCTACATGTCCTCTATTTATACAACAACCATTTTTAATAATGCATGCTAAGAGACTGCTGCACAGAAGAACCAACAGTATCTGGATGCACGCTGACAGGAAGACAAATGTTTAGTTTCCTCAATCTCATACCAACCTCCTTGAGCACAGTGTCTCCCTGACAGATGAGCTTGCGAATGTGGGAAATAATTCTTTCTTTGACCTTCACTAACCCATCCTGGTGGATCTTGGCATCATTCACACACTGTTTGTACAGGAGCTCTGCCTCCATCACCTGGAGGAGACAGAGAGAACACCTGAGAGCTGCTAAACCATCACAAGTCTACATCATTGTGTTGTTTATCATTATTAATACACTATGAGCAAAATAATGTGTTTTTTCTGCACTGCATTAAGGGGACATTCACCTTTGTCTGGGCTTCATCCTTGGACTTCCGCCTCTTATCTATTGTTTTGAGTCCAGTTGTATCGTCCACAGCTTTAGCAGAGATGGCTTTAGCCTTCTCCAGCTCATCACAGCGCTGGTAATATTGCTGACGAGCCTTTTTGAGAGCTGTCACTGCATCGTTCTGAAAACACACAGTTGGGAAAAACACACGGATGAGTTTCTTTGTTACTGCGCGAGCCATGTGCAGTCTAACATGTTTTAAGCAGAAATCAACAAGGTCATAAAATATAGATAATTCTTTCACAGAGGGAAATATTTGGTATCAGATGCTCGTTCAGGCATCCAGTCCGTTGGAATGTCAAAATTTGAGTAAATTTGTTTTGACAGTGCAATAAACGGAGCTCGACTTCAGCGATAAACAAGATTCCTAATTCACTTACCATCCTCCTTTGTTCCCGTGCCCACTGCTCCTTAAATTCTCTGCGCCACTTGTCGATCTCATTCTTCTTGGCAGCCAAGGCCTTTGGGACAGAGATACAGGATTAGACACAAAGTCACAGCTACACACACACACGGGCCTCTGAAAGACAGGAAACTCAAACTTTTTGTTATGTGTGTGTCTGTGTGGACTCTCATACTTGGTAACAGCGGTTGTGTATCAGTTCTGAAGTCTTTCTAGAGGTCAGACTGTTCTTGATGTCTTGCTCTAGCGCCATTGTGTAGATGTACTGCAGAGGCATCATTTCCTATAAACGCAAGAACAACTTAAGAAAGTTTTTCTCTAGTAAACATTACTAAGTGAGATTAAATGTTACAAACGCAACTCGAGTCAATAACACTCATCCAGTAAACAAGCTGTACCTGCTGCCCCACGTTGGCTTTTGCTCCTTCGGCTGTCTTCATCACATTTTTTGCAAATTCTTGTTCTGTCAACACAAATTGAGATATTACAACAGTGTACATCGAGATAAGACAAGCACGACTGGACAGAGGATTGAACTGGTACCACAGTATAACCTCTATGTCCCTGGAGATAACCCTGACCTTTACTATAAAGCTCACGAAACCTCCTGGAGCTCAGGCAGGGCTGGCTAGTGTCCATTTTAACCTCACCAGCTACTGATGAGAGCAGAAGCTACAACAGGAAATGGACTAAGACCCATTTGTTTTCAGTGGTTGCGTCTGAAACTGTGAAATGGTCTGTAGATAATCTGACAGCTCTTAAACATCCTGGGCCTGATACTAGCACTTCTCTGATAGCTGTTCATGATCTGACAGCTCTTTTTAAAATTGGACACTACACCCTTAGAAATAAGGGTTAGAAAAAGGAGTCCTTTCTGAAGGGCTGAGGTTTTACCCAGAACCATTTGCTTCTGAAGAACCCTTTCATGAATAAAGGGTTCTTCAAGGGCTCTTTGTAAGACTAAGCATTTAATTAAGAACTTTTTTTTATCCAAAGAGCCCTTTTTGGAAGAATTAATTCTACTCAGATTGTTGAAAGCATGAGTGTTTAAAGATCCTCACTCTCAAATGATCAAATATTTATGTTCTGCCATAGTTAATATCTTTATCATCATGTTATGCAATACATGGTCTGCAAAAAAACCCTTTTTGTACTTGGCATTTAGTGTTTGGCTCTAATTTGGAACCAGCTTTCTGTTCTCAACCCTACTGCACAACTGAAATAATAACGGCTGTAGTAGTGGTGATTTCACAAAATCTCCAGCCCCTAAAAACATAATGGTGAACTCTTGAGTGTTGTGGGTTGCTCTGAAGCACATCAGCCCTGAGAAAGGAACAACGGAGAAGTCAAGTGAGAAATTGTCAGAAAAAACAGCATGCAGTGGTCTCATTAATATTTGGTTCATGCTTTTTTCTGGGGTAAAAACATGTATCTGTAGTAACAGAACAAAAGTTCCCAGGTAATGGATGTAACCCACAATCTTGCTGTTACTGTTTACTTCTGTTGTGTATTGTGCAACGCCGTCCATCAATGATACTGTAAGAGCCACGTAAGCACATATTAATATTTGGTAAGAATTTCTGTGTTGATATGACATATAGGTTCTGACGATATTTAAGTTTACACAACAGTTTCTGTATATTTTGAATAGATGCTAGGTATGTTGCTATAAGGCAGTTTAGTCGCATGACAAAAGAAGAGTGTGGACAACGTCATGCTTAAAAGACGACATGAGGTTTGTGATTTGGATCGTAATAAGTTTCTGACTGTGTTATGCAGTATTGAAGTATAATAAGGGTAATACGTGAGAATATACAGAAATAGGACATTGAGTTGGAAATGGACCGTACAAGATGTAATTTTGGAGAGACTTGGCCTAATGTTTTGTTTCCTTTTTCGTACTCTCAATAAACTTCGTTTAACTTTTTCCCTGCCTCATGTGAGTAATCTCTAGAAAAGGAACAGAAACACGAGTCAAAACTGAGGACACCTCGCAAACTAAGTGGCCTAGGAACTTTGGTACTTCGGTATGTTGAAACTGCCACTATAGACACATTTTTAAATACAGTGGCTCTGAGCAAAACTGATGGAAACAACGTGGGCTGGTTTGCTAGATAACACCAAAGTTCAAGGAATCAGAGCTAATCTGGTGGAAAAGGGGTATGTAAGGGTTACAGGCCAAAGAACCCTAGTCAGCACCTTTATTTCTAAGTGTATACTCTTGCTATTAGGGATCTCACAGTGCTGCTCTGCTACAGCATGTATAATCCACAGTAGTTTGAGGCTGAGCTCCACCCTGCATTACTCATCTATTGCCTAAACACAGTCCTCACACAGCTGAGCAACTCTCCTGTTTCTCTATATTTTGTTTGTTGCCAGTGAACTTACATCTTTGGCATTTCAGTCTGGACACTGGGTACCTGCGCTGGGTGATATGAAGGGTAATCATGGTCTATGTACTCCCCGTCTCCTTTATTACCCCTCTCTGCCCTGCTAATCTGCTCTCTAATCCTTTCTGTGTGTGTGTGTAAAGTGTGCACTTCAGTGAGGTGACTGCACCAACTGCAGACGTCCTCACAGGGTGAAATAATACAGGCAGACCATGTTATGGCAGGTTACAACATAATGTCATACCGTACTAATCAACCCTCTGACATGCCTTAAGTATTGGTTCTTTATCGATGGACAACAGAAGGCTCAGCTCTCCCGAGGCCTGCTGACAACTATAGGAATGTTTAGCTCTTCTAGGAATATGTGGGTGTCTTAAGGCCGTGTTTCTAGTACTAATTACAGCTCCAAATTAAATCAGTCAACAACAGCTTTAGCTCTTCAGGAAATAATTAGAAAAAAGCTGCACCTACTTATACACAATTATAAATAACCCACACTTTAAACAATTAAATGGTGGTACATTTTTAGGACTAGTGGCTGCATAGTGGCTAAAATTTTCATACACTGGATTCACAGTTGCAGAGACAATATATTTGCATTTTGTAAGCACCACATCATATCTGCTTTTATGTGCAGTGTGTACTAACATGTTAGGCACAGGTGTCCTCACACAGACATCACAGATATGGAAATAATTTGCATGTTACGCTACCAGTTCCTTTTTCTCAGCTACATGTGCTCTTACCCAAGGCGATTCTCTTCTCCATCCAGGCCAGGAGGTCTTTGGCATAGCGGCACCACATCTTGGTGTACTGCAGCGCCGTCTCCACTCCATCGTCACACCGACACAGGGCCAGGTCTGCTTCCTGGGCTGAGAGGGAGTACATCAGCATCACTGTGGGGGCTCCACACACTTGGGAGCTGGACCCAGGGATCACACAGTGTCCATTGGGCTACTAGACCCCAGAGCTTGTCAAACAGCCTCCAGCTTCAAAGAAAAACCTTTCTACTCTAGTGTGACAACCCTCCCCCAGCTTCTAGACTTTCTCAGGAAAGATGATCAAAAATCAAACGTCACTTTAAATAAAAAAATACACAAACCCAAAAAAGGAAACAATGATTGCATATGGCAAGTCATATCCGCTCCTCTGAGTAAATGTCCTGTGGTTTCCAGTTGGTGTCAGCAAAAATATGCTGTTGTTGGTTGGCAAAACTCTCTTAAACAAATCCTAAGTCTTCCAACAGACGCACATAGGGATGTGACCTGAGAGAGAAAGGTGTCATGGACCAAAGACAAACAGCTTTAGTTAAATAACTTCCCTCCTCTCCTCTCCTCTCTTCCTTTCTCTGCCTGGCCCCTCCCTCTCACACCTGTTCACTTCAGCCACAAAGAGACAGGCCGAGCTGTGAGAGCAGAGCCACCAACACCACAGAGTGCCAGTGTGTAGTGTCACACACCACCATGTCACAGCTCTATCGTGGTCAGGCAGGCAGGGCGTTGATATGACAACCACTGTGGTTCTTCCTCTCTGACTCACACCAACACAGGGCCGACAATCTATGCGTGACAATCACGTGGTCTCTTGAGCGCGGCCCACACTACTTTCTCTTCTCCTCTTCCTCTCTGTGCTCCACTTTCAGCAGTCAAAATCTACTTGAACATATCTTCATTTTCTCCTGTGGCCAAAGGTCAGAGGAGCAGATGCATTTTAGGAGTTTTCACTTCATGGTCCATGGTGCAGTTCCAAGTATTCAGCTGTGTTTTTAACTGAGCAAGCACGCATTGCCAGGAAGATTGCAACAACTTCTCTCTCAAGTTCCTCACTCAGACATGCAGATTTTATTCTGCTCTGCTCTTTTACACAGGACGCCACATCCAGTTAGAGTAGTAAAAAAAATCCAAGCAGGGTGATCTTTTCCTCTGAGGCAAAATCCCCCCAAAAGAACAGGCAATTCTACAAGAGTGATGGACCTGTGGCCAGAGTTTGTGCCAAAGTTGACCTCTTATAGCCCTTCCCCTCTGTGTTTCATTTCAGGAAGAACTCTGAGTAGCACTTTCAGAAATCAGCCTCCCAGCAGATCCTGTGCTGCCACATGGCTACGGCCTCCTGCGCTTGGATTGGGGATTATCCTAGTCAGGTCCAGATTGTGGAGTGAGAGGCTTTAGAGGAGCATCCAGTGAGGTTTACCTCCTGGTGTGTGACCCAGCATGGGCAGGAGGAGGGGGGGTCCAATCCCAACCAATGGCAACACATGAAACCAGACTGCCAAAGAGCATTTTCTAGTAATGTGCTTGGTGAGACTTGATTTTGGTTTGATGATATTAAAAGCACTCATACACAAATTAGCTAGTCACTTTGCAGAGTGATAGCAGGGATTACATTAAACGGGATACAGTGCCAGTGACCACCGCTAAACAGGTGCAGACAGATCTGGACTTGAAGGCAAAAGACCTTGTGAAGACTTTTAATTGAGAGATTAGGAGTATTTTTTTACACTCTATTCCTATTCCTAATGTCTTACTGTATTCGTGACCTGTAGTATGAGCCAGACTGTGGTTGAAGTACTTGGCAATTATAGTCAAGTACTACTACTTTACTGTATTTACTGCAACACAACATTGACACCTTTTTGGGGGAGATCCCCTCCTGTTTTCCGCTTGTATCTGAGGTAAAAAACTGAGAGCAGCTGTCTCCTGCTTTAATCCTGTCCCTTTATCCTAATCGTGTTACAACAGGGCAAATGGCTAATAACAAGCCAACAAGTAATGATTAAAAACAAAAAACCCCTCAAACCCAGAACCAAGTAGTATCGAAACTTCCCCAGTCAAACAATACCTGCACGCGACCCATTTTGTACCCACATCTAGAAAAAAAAAGGCTATTTGCCAATAACCACAAGCGTTTCAATTTAATACAACATTTAACTGCCCCACTACCGCAGCAGCTACAATCTAATATAGTCTGTGATGTGTTGAAGTTGAGGGCAGTGTATCTGATGAAGTTGGCAGTGCCAAGATGATGCCAAAACGTTCAAAAGTATGGCTACCCTACATGTCAGTCGTGTCTGGTGGCATCAATCATATGAGGTGCTCTACTGGTATTGGTATCACTTCAAGGATACTGGTATCTTAATCTTTTAAATGACACCCAGCCCTGGTCCTGCACATCATCACCAATGACCTGTTGGGATGCCAATCACAGGGTGGTCTGTGTTAATAAGCTCGTAATTGGACCAGTTAATTCAACAACTATACCACAATGTCTCTGATTCACAGACTGGTGGTAACATGCAGCATAGAGGAGCCTTGTACTGATTCCCAGTGAGCAGAGCTTCAAAGTTTCTATCAGCAGGGCCCAGGGTATACTGACACACACACTCTCTTCTCTCTCACACACAAATCATACCTGCTTGGTTTCCATCTGCTTCAGTGACCTCAGCACGAACCTGTGGACAAAATATATTTTCATAAAGATGTTGATTTTATAAAAGGCATCACTAATCCATCCAAAATACACCGACAAAATTCTGTAAGTGGTTTCCTAAAGGTATTTCATTTTCATTTTAATAAGAAGGTATTGATGCCTTACAGATACATATTGTTGCTCTGTGAGATCCGCACTCTCTGCAGAGATGGATTCAGGGATGGACTGTGAGTCACTGTCTAGCAGCAGTTCCTCCCCTGTACTGAAGAGAGAAAGAAATGTATGGAGTTAAACATGCACAGTTGAACACACATGCACAAAACATACATGTACAAACATTATGTTTCCTTGTGTATGTCTGCCAGACAGCTGTATTAACCAAACTTACTACACATGTTGTTGGGCTGATCAGTGTCACACACACACACAGTGTCTTAAAGGGACAGTTCAACCCCAGAATCCAAAATACATATTTTTCCTCTTACCTGTAGTGCTATTTATCAATCTACATTATTTTTGTGTGAGTTGCAGAGTGTTGAATTATCAGCCGTAGAGATGTCTGCCTTCTCTCAAATATAATGGAACTAGATGGCACTCGGCTTGTGGTGCTCAAAGCGCCAGGAAAATACATTTTAAAAACTCAACAGCAATGTCTCTGTCCAGAAGTCATGATTCAGTCACTCAAGATAATCCAAAGACCTTGTTGTGAGCAGTTTCATATAGGCTAGACCCTTCAAATGCATGAGAGCTAGCAGTAGATGCACGCTTCCTTCTGCATAGTGATACAGTTGGTGGGTGTAGTTTGGTAGAAAGAAAATGGTTCCTACATGAAACTAACACCAAGGTCTGTGGATTATTTTGAGTAACCAGATCACGATTTCCAGAAGGAGACAGTTTTCAAATGTATTAATTTTTTGGCGCTTTGAGCTTTGAGCTTTGAGCTTTGAGCCGAGTGCCATCTAGTTCCACTACATTTGAGCAGGCTGTTCTCATAAACTGTTTGTACCTTTTCCTATGAAAAGTAAAGCATCCAAATTCAAACATATTCCACGTTTTTTGAGAGGCTGCAATCACGTGACCAAAATACTGACAGGAGTTAATAATAAACCAGTCCCAAGTGGTCTTGTAAGGAGGCAGGGTGGGAGGTGGAAGGATCACAAAAACAGACTGCCTCCTGGGACCTTCCCCGAGAGACATGTGTTGAGTTATTTTAAGGTACGTCTTTGCCATGTTTCTTTTCCTAAACTTCACTTGCCTAAACCCAACCTCCATAACTTAATGTTAATTACGTAACTACGTTAAAGACATAACGTCATTTTTTGGGCGCTAATTTGTAGGATATTGTACAAACTAATGTGTCTGCATTTTCATAGATTATCATACAAACCGTACTATGAGGGTATGTCGATTTGAGAAAAGACAGACATCTCTACGGCCGATATCTCAAACACTCGGCAACACTAAACCAATCTAGACTGTTAAACAGCACAACAGATAAGATTATAAATATGTATTTTTGATTTGGGGGTGAACTGTCCCTTTAAGTACATTTTAATGTACAATTATTTATGAACTTTTGCCAATTTACATTCCACTAATCTACTCAATGAGACTTAAAAGCAACAGTGTGATGTCAGATGGCAGATGTGCTATCAAAGGAGAGTTTCCAGTTGCCTATTTTTAGTAGATGTCACAAAAATTGGATTAAAATAGACCTGACCGGATTAAGAATTTGCTCCCATTGCATTTAATAATCTACACTTAGAGATAGCTGGCTGAGTTCATATTAAAGGATTGTGGCTTTGAGCTGACAAATATATCTGAACATTTTTTTTTCTGTATCATTTCCTATAATCAGCCAAGCTTGCAGCATCTTTGAATGACGCCTCACTAACCATTGCTTTTTTTCTTCTGTCACAGTATTCATATCAAACTGAGCGAGCCCAGTGATGCGGGAGACAAGAGACACACGTGGTAGCACCGCTCCATTTGTACATGTTGTATAATACTTACGGACAAATTAAAGTCAATTCGAAGTTATCGAAATCTCTGAAGATCTCACTGTATCGCTTGGTTTCAGATTTAGGGTGCACCCTCTTCACATCTGAAATGAGGGATGGAAAACAAAAAGATGACCTCACTGCTAACTTCATGCATACAGTAACACCATTGTGGATTTGACATCCTGAAGTGTTGTTCACCATCAAACACAGACCACACAGACACGTTGTCTCTATCTCAACACAAATATTTTCTTTCTATAAGCAGAAGTGTGTAACCAGATCTTTTAAAAGCTTTCGTGAAGAAACAAAAGCAGCATTAAGTTCTGCATATCTGAACAGAATCGCTTCTTTCTTTTATGACGACACAAAACAAACAGAAATATGTAGGTCTGAATGATGAATAAGCCGTGTAGCTCCAAGCTGCCTTTTAGTGGTAGTGACATGATGGTGTGTGGTTATTGAAGCACACAAGGTTTTACCTCTGCACTACTTTTTAGCTGCTCAACAAAGGGCAGCTAAACACCTCATGAAGAACAATATACTTTAAGTGAAACACATAAAAGATAAATGACTGGCTCGAAAGATAACTAATAAAGAAATCAAACGTAGTTCCTCCCCTGACGTTACATCTTACAGCATTTCCTTCACGTTTCTGAGAAAAGGAGTTCTTTGACTGACTGTGGACTAAAATACAATGCGGAACAACGTGGCACATTTTGCTAATGAAGCCTCTAACCCACTACTTAAGTGGTGTTTCACCTCGGGGCATAACAAAAAGTCAAGAACTGATGATTTACAACAGATGCAGCGACTATAGAAAAAGCAATGTCGCTCTCTCAGAGAGACGTCTCCATTTTGGTCAACCACATCCTGCTTGCAATTTGTGTCACGTCCTATATTGAACATAGAGTCCTTGTTTTTCACACCAGCAGTGTTTAAGTGAGAACTGAGAGGCAAGTTAGAAGTTATAGCAAAACTAGAACAAATAGGTTTTCGAGTCAAACCCTTAGCTGTTTTGGTTGGCGAACCTAAGTCACAGTGGGGAAATCTTCGTAAGTTCCTAGGAACCAAGGAGAATATTGCAAAAAAATTCTACTTAGAAGTGAATTTTAGTATCTCAAAGACAGATATATCTTGCTAAATAAAAATACAGAAGTCACACAAAAAAAAAGACAGAACAAGAATGTGCTGAAACGGAGACAGTTCAGGAAGTTCACCAATCTTCCTTTGACTTGGAGGATGCCACACAGAGTTAACAAAGGCATATCCAGGCCCATTGTGCATACACCCAATACCAATGCAATACCTATGTCATAATGCCACTACAGCCCTGTCAGCAAATTTCCAATCAGCACAGTCACAGAATATTCATCTATTTAAAAACAATCCTAACGCGTGAAGAGATGTACAAGTGGACTACAAAGGTACATAAAGGGATGATGGCCAACATGAAGTGAAAGGTAACACTTCCTCAAATTACTTAAAAAAACATTCTTTGTTCTCACCTGTGGCTTGAGAGGAATCCTTGTTTGGCACTTGATCTTCCTCCATTTCTAAAGTATCACCACAGGAGCCAGACCCCTACCAACACCACTCACACATCATCTGCCTCTTAAGGTCACACTATGTCACACGATAGAGAGCAGTCTGGTTGAGGTGGCAGGAAATCTGCGCTGCAGTGTGTACACACACTGACACGGTGAATTATTAGCATGCAGCTCTGAGCCTGCAGCCGTTTGTGCTCTGAAAATGATCTTCCTCTGGTGGAGTGGAGGTTGGCCAATCTTGTTTTCACCACCATAGGAAGAGGAAGTGTATCTTGCTGTCATTGTAGGCCCCACCTACGCTATCACACCACACATAGTGTGAAGGTGCAACTGTGTTTAGGCTGTTTCGACTTAGTAGAAAAAAACAAGAATTGACTTCAGACAGTTTGAGAGCAGATTACAGATGTGTGACATTCACAACAGATGTCTGACCTTGATATCGGCAGGTAGTGAAAAGCTGATACTTCATCTGTACTAGAACAGAATACATCATTTTGGTATAACCAACGTCTGCTTCGCTTAAGGAACAAAGGAGCTCATACTCAGAGCATGTGGTTGTTCTGCCTTGGGTTGTACTGTACATCCCACATACAGTACAATCTTCATAGCTTCACAGTTGAAGCAGAGTACTACTAAAACGATGATGCTCTGAGGGTTACCAAGATAGAAGAAGTGAGAGCAAACTCAGTGCTACGTGTCCATATGACACATATACCAGGGATAGGTAACCTGCAGCCCTGGAGCCACGTGCGGCTCTGTAGACCTTCTCCAGTCACTCCCTGTGGCTTTGACAAAAAAATACATTTTCATTTCATTTATAGTATTGACGATAACCGTGATATATAGAAATGAAATAATATCATTTTAATACTACACATAAGATGACGTTGTGTAAATGACCAAGTGCCCCTCTTAATAATTTCCTGTTAATAATGAATGTAATTCCTCTTTCTGTGTAGTTTTGTACAGTCATGACGACAGACTCTATCCACTTCCCTTCACTCGTATTTTTAGTGTAATTCACTGTCTTGTGGACTTTGTTTTGGGGTTTTCTGTTTTTGCTCTTCCTTGTTTTCGTGTCATTCATTCATGTTTAACCTGTTTCCTGTTTCATTTTGTAGATTCTCCCCTCATGTATCTTGTCTGGTTTTACTTCCTGCCTTTGTGTTTTCCCGCCTGCTTTCTATCACACCTGTCTTCCATCGGTTTTGTTAGTCCTTCCCTGTTCCAAGAGTCTTCCCTTCACACCTGTTCTGTATTAGTCGTTTGCTCCACCCTTTCTCTTCTTCTGCCTGCATCCACCTACTCTAGCTGTGCCTCTTTCTTGTGATTAGTTTTCTGGGTATATATATGTGTGTTTCCCTTTGTTCCTTGTCAGTTCATCTGTGTTTGTGGTGTCGTTTCCTGACTGGCCTTTGGTGATGTGTTTTTGCATTTCTTTCCTGAGTTCATTCCTGAGTTTATCATGCCACCCCTGGTTTGTTTCAGGTTAGTTTTGGTTCTCCTTTTTTTTTTAAAAGCATTAAGTGGAGTTGTGCTGCTACCCACTCTCCCTTGGGATCACCTGAGCCTCCCTTGGCATATGGGTGAGTAGATAATGGCTGAATTTTCATTTTTGGGTGCACTATCCCTTTAAAGCTTTCCTTTTGTTCCAAATCCACCTGCCTACTGCTCCACGTTTGGGTCCTTTTCTGTCCTGATATATGGCATTAATTTACCAAAACAGAGACAACACTTAATGAACAAAGCTCCAGATTAATTGGACTGACAGCATTATTACTTTTTTTTTTTTAAAAAATGCTCTAAATATATAGTAATACTTTTGCTATTGTGAACTCTTTTGATGATAATAATTATGTAGGGAAAATCTGATTGTGCCACCCTAAGTGGACATATTCACTTGCTTGAACTGCCAATACTGTCAAGTTAAAATACTAAATAACCATAAATAGTTCACTGCAGAGTAGCCATCTTGTGGTAAAACATATGAATGAATACTCTTTTAGAGCTATTAGTTATGATAACTTAACAGGCATTGTTACCTTCATTATAAGGCTCAAATATATCTTGTGGCTTCAGGCTAATTTCTTTTCTTTTCTTTTTTTTTTTTTTTTTTTTTCTTTGCTAAAGATGGCCTTTTTTTGTTAGTAAAGGCTGCTGACCCCCTGAAATATACCAATAATATACAGGTATAAATGCAATAAATGGCTCGCCGCCATTTTGGGAGATGTCTGTCTGAAAACACATCTTTTCAAGCTGGCATATTCGATCTGATTTAATGAAGACATGTATGGTGACCTGCACTGATGATGACTTTTATGATGATGATTTTATACCTAATTTTTATAATTATGATTTTTATCTAGTCATTTTATTAACTTTTGTTGTATACTACAGAATTGTTTGATATTATCATCATCATTAGGTATAAATGAGTGGTCACAGTATCTTGTACCTGCGTACAGCGCTCCACTATTACAGGTTAAAGTTTAAACAACCAACATAAACAGAGAAAATTGGTTACAATAATCACAAATTCAACCTTCCTTTAAAAATAAAACAATTTATTTCTTGTTGGCACAATGCACCGCTAACATTTTGTATAAGACCCACGGGTGAACAGCTCCCATTCATACTCCACAAAAATTAACTTCCTGGGAGATTTAGTATCGAAATGTGAGGCAAAACCATGACAGAATAAATAATCTGTAAAATGATCCAAGCTTTGTATGTTCTCTTTTTCTGTCTTGCTCACCCAAATGCTCAAATACAGATTTAACTAAGGATTAAGAGGTGGAGAACAATGTGTGTGTGTGTTTGGATGTGGTTGGGTGGCTTCTTTCTGAGGGAACTTAAAGGGCATTTAAAACCACGTCCCTCCCAAACCACCAAGTTTGAGGCGTGTACAGTGGTTTGTCCCATGTATAAGCATGTCAACAGCTGGTTAACAGCATTAGTCTGGAGACAGTCCCAAAGTGGTGACATGAATAATGAAATGCAGTGTTGTATGCTCTACAGTAGTACTGTAGAGGATACTGTTGCTTGTGTGTTTTGTTGCTTTGGTAACACTCTGCTGCCTGCAAGCATCTCAAGTGTTGGCTAATGATTATTTAAAACACAGCAGTATTAAGTTTAAAAGACAAAATGATAAAAATGAAAGCGAAAGACATGCAGATGTTTCTCCTCATGGACTGAAGAATTTAAAATGACTCACGGTTGATTAAAGACATGACTGTCTGCAGAAGACGTGATACTGCTCAGTGACATACAGTTTGGTTACGGCCCAATTCATCTGTAATCATGAGAAATTTATATAAAAAAAAAGCATTTCACAGTGTAATGTCAGATTAAGATAAAGTTAACTGCCCGATGGCTGAAATGTAACAGTCTGATTGCATTCTCTGCTAATATATAGGTTTGTTTCTGTATGACAGACAGAAGTTGGGTACTGCAAATGCCATTAGAAATGACAAGTCTAGTGCCTTTTTATAAAGTAAAAACTACAAACGGACAATGTGACAGAAAAGACGCACCTGATCCCTTTTTAACTCGTCACATCTGGATAAATTAAATCTTTCTTACAAACTCTGATGTCACATCCCTGCTGTGATGCCCGAATCAAAAGTATCAAAGATGAAACACGATTTAAAAAAGACTAAGGTGGTGTGTAAAACTTTCGCATGGCTCTCATTCGGCTCCTCTCATAGCTCGTCCCGTGCTGTACTGTCCAAAGGCGACTGGAGCACATCTGAGTTCTGGGCCTTGGTGCTGATCTCAGCCTGCTCCCCAGTTTTCCCTGAGCGTGCTCTGTCCCAGTCTGTACGGACCTTTTCGTTGTCCCACACTGTGGAAGTCTCGGTGTCGCTGATGTAGCCGTCATCGCCCGTGTAGTGTGTCGGATACACTAGAAGAGGCTCAGCTGAAAATGCCTTCAGGTCCCTGGTTTCAAACTGGTCCATATAATCAGTCCTGTAGAGGAGAGAGAAACATTAAGAACAACAAAATCCACAACCTCTGAGCAGCTGTTTATGTTACATGTGTGTATTTACACTGTGTAGGCCACACTTACACAGGGTGTTTATTATACATGATAGGAAGAAACTCATCCACCGGCAAAATCCTCTGAAGTGGTTTGGCTTTCAAAAGCTTCTCTGCACCTTGAAGCGATATCATATAGCCCAGTGTCCAATATGAATAGTCTGCTTCCACTAAGTTGTGTATATTAGGCACTGCTTTCTCCGGGTGATCCACTTGCATTCTCTTCCGACCAATATATCTGGAAAAAAGATAAGAGAAAGGAGGAGTGAGAACCGATAACAGACTTAAGCTGCAGATTACTTGCATTTAGCTACATGTAAGCATGTGCATGGTGGCTGCCTCACGTATCCTGCCTTCATTTTGGTTGTGCACATCCTCAGAAATGAATGCTGAACACTGGTAAGATGCAATATGCACACCAACAGTAGGGGCAGTACAGTAATGTTGTGATGACGTGCTTGGGCTTTGCAGCACTTGTATGTTCATTGTGAAGGCGTAAATTACCATCTATGATAGCACTGCTGTCGATTTTTCTGCTGTGATCTCAGCATATTACATACAATATATCTACAGCTTGAGGAGAATCAAGGTAAAATCAATGATTGTGAAGAAAGCATAAACTCACATGAGATCCCAGTCCAGTCCTTCCTCCTGTACCTCCCTCATCAAGTTCATCAAGCGTCGTTTGAAAAACACCTCGAAGCGCAGGTCGTCCTCAATCACCAGGGAGGTTTCCAGGCGTCTCTCCACAATCTAAGATCAGACACAGATTTATCAATCACTCACCCATCTGTCTAGTTCACAAACCTTCAAATGCCTGGCTTCTGAGGGTTCACCTCTTTCCAGATGTTAAAGTGGGAAAGGAAGCATCCCAGCTCTCCCTTCGTCAGCGGGCGACCATGATAGGGGTCACTGTATCCAGGGAGCATGTGGATGCCCATAGTATGAATTTCACTGATATTCATCGCTCTGAAATAGAGAGAGAAAAACAAAAATGACAAAAGAGAAAGGGTGGATATGTGTGATTACAAAGTACTAAACAAGTGTAAAGTAATCATTAAACAGCGGGAACTTACTTTCCATCTACAGCTGCAATGACCTTACAAGTAATCTCCTGCTCGTATAATGTCCTCAGCATACGGTCTCGGCGGTCGGTTCGCC